AAGAAGAAGAAGAAGAAGAAGAAGAAGAAGAAGAAGAAGAAGAAGAAGAAGAAAAAAAAAGACTGGTGACAACGACGATGACGATGACGACTTCGACGATAATAATATATAGAAAATTCTTAAAAAGCGGGGCACGGATGCGACTGCAAAGAACAATGACGCAATTAAGTTGTGTTTACTTTTCAAAAATCCTTTTCATCGGCTTCTTTTCATCTATATACGACATCCACCTCCACACCTGTCGCTTTCTTTGCCTCGAAAATAGTTGTTCTGTAGAGAAAAAGGTTCCACCCGCTTTGTAACAACAGCATTCCTCTGGTAATCCGCCCTCCCCCTCTCCCTCCCCCTCCCCTCCCCTCCTCCGCGCTGCTCAATAGGGAGAGATGAAAGGAGACGAACACACACACGCACACACAGATACACAACGCACACTTGGAGACACAATCACGCCGAGTTCCTCACTTTTAAATAGTCCTCGCATTGAAGCTATCTTTGAAAAACATCCTTCCTATCTTATCTCTGTTCTCCCATCGCGCCGGGCCGAATACTTCCACCATCAAAGGAGCCGACCGACTCTTTCGCACTGCGCAAACCGAAGCCACCGTTGTGGTTTTTCTTCTCAGAAGATCGTTGTTGTTTTTTTCCTTCACTGCATTCTTTTTTTTTCTCTCTCTCTCTCTCTCTCTGTGTCCTTCTCTCCCTCTCTGTGTTCTGATTCTTCTTGTCGCTCCCGGCTCCCCTCGTCGTGGGTCTGTTTTTCTCCGTTTTCAATTGCTCGTCTGCTACCGTTCACACCTCCCGCTTCTTTTTACCTGCGCGCACAAAAGAGCGCCCCCCACTCGGCGTTCCCTTCGCCCCGCCCTCGACTCGCGGCCGCTCGTGCTATGGTTCCCGTTGTCTGGAGCCCGACTCGTCCTTTTCACACACACGGATTTCCCACCTCACGAGAGAGCGCGGCGGATCAGGGGTGGCCCCAGGCGACACCCGCAGGGGCACTCAGTACATAGGCTGAGCGAGACAACTCAGTAGATAGATCTACCCGCCAGCTGGGATCAGGGTAGGAGGTAAGGACAGGTAAGCGGGTAGAGACAACGGCCACCACTACCACCAGCACTACCACTACTACTGCCAACCACTGCTACCACAACCACCACCACCAACAACATCAGCACTACTACTACTACTACTGCTACCACAACCATGACCACCACTGCCACCACTATCACCACCACCACCCCCACCACAACAAAAACAACAACGACAACAACAACATCAACAACTCACGAGAGAGCGCGGCGGATCAGGGGTGGCCCCAGGCGACACCCACAGGGCCACTCAGTACATACATAGTCCGACAAACACACACACTGAGCGAGACAGCTCGACTCTAGACTCAAGATAGATCTACCCGGCCAGCTGGGAACTGGAAACGGGGTAGGAGGTAAGGACGGGTAAGCGGGTAGAGACTGCCACCCCTACCACAACCACCAGTACTACTGCCACCACTACCACAACCACCAGTACTACTGCCACCACTACCACAACCACCAGTACTACTGCCACCACTACCACAACCACCAGT